GAATTGGGTCCTTCAATGGGCCGAACTGTCTACTACTCGCTCATTGAGTCACGTCTCAGATATGGGATCTGCTTCTGGGGCATGTCTGGTTTGCGTTTGCTGAACAGCTTATTTGTCTTGCAAAAACGAGCAGTTAGGTATTTGAGTCGAGCGAGGCCACGAGATTCATACAGGCCATTGTTTTTGAGCCACAAAATTCTGACATTGTACAGTCTATTTATCTTGGAAAGTGTTTGTATTGTCTATAAAAATCGTCACAATTTAATATCTCCTAGCTCGCATTACAATACTCGCCAGTTGCTTAATTTACCTCTTCCTATACCTGCCTTAACTCTTACTAAAAAGTCTGTGATATACGAAAGTATAAAAATGTATAATCATTTACCCAATGAAGTTAAAGTTTCTCCGACATTGAAACTGTTTAAAAATGGGGTCCGAAGGCTATTGATTGGTAAGGCGTATTACAGTATTGACGAATTTTACAGAGACTTTAAACCTGTACATTTTATGTTTAAGCTTTACCACTCTATTCATTTTATTTATAAGTTTTAATTGTTTAATTGTGGCTTGATTGTTGCTGTGACTGTTGATTTTAGCTATCGATAATTTCCTCCCGTACTCTATTTACTTCATGAATTGTTTTTTTTTTTCTCTGCATTATGTTAAAGTATTGTCACTCTGTTTGTTTGATTTATTAGTTTTAATTAGGTATTTGATTGTTGCTGTAAGTGTTGACTTTGACTTTGATTATTGATGATTTCCCTTATGTAATATTTATGCTTTGTCAATGAGACTATTGTCTTAAGATAATAAAGCTTATTTTGAATTTGAATTTGAATTTGGTTACTTTGGTTAACATTTGGTTATATTCGGACCATAGCCTTAAACTGAATATTATGCGTGAGGTCCGAAACCTCTGGTGACGGTTTAATTGAGAATGCAGTGTTGCTAATCTGAATTTGTGAAATTACACGATATGCTGGTCAAATTACATAGTTTTACACGATTTCGTCTCACAATTACACTATTTATACACACGACCTTGGTATATCTATTTAGTAACATCAAGAAGCAAGTATTTATGATTCTGGGAAATGGGTCAAATCCAGTCAAATCTGAGGATTAATCATCGCTCCTTAACCAAAAACAAAGATGTAGCATCGACAGAAAAGCGATCCAAAAGTAGTCTAATTACTAATTACTCTAGTTCCTGGAAAAGTGGTTACTTTTGGACCCCAGTTTTCCTGCCAGGATGAGGCACCCCAGATGACGTCATACAGTTATCAGGCAACCTACCTCTCTCAAACGTCCTAGCCATAAGAGTAGTCACTTGACAGACCATTTGACAGACAAAAGATAATGGAATGTAATGCAAGGAGCAATTAAGGGAAGAGAAAACGTCAAGTCCTATTTGTTTTTCACAATGGGACCGTGACCTATCTATATGTAATAATATCAAGAATGAAAATTCCAAAATATTCTTCCGTTTTTTTCACAGAAAAATTTTTGAAACCCATTTTTCATTCTTGCCGTCCAAGGGAGGGCTTGATGAAAAAAATTGCCAGGACCGGTTTGTCTAAGCCCATCCAACCCTGCCTATTAGATTAGATATGGTCAAAATCTATACTCGCGCATGCGAATCACATTTAAACTAGGGGCGCCAAAGTCAGATCTCGCTCCATACTAAAAGTAGCCTCGGGCCGGCACTGGTGACGGTGAAACACAATGAAAGAGAAAGACAAATATAATTATGATGCTCCCAATGTAGCTTTTTTGCCGCAGCGCCATCTACTTGAAATTACTTGAACTGCAACTGTCACATTTTCACCAATTTTCACCTTCAAAATTCGTTTTAGTATTCTCCCAAAAAATCCGAAATAATTTTCAAAATCCTTTGGCATAAACATTATTTGATAGATTATCTACAATTTAATTATGTATTTTTTCGTGGTTATCAATAAAATATGCTTTTCACGGATCCGAGCTTTATCACCAACACATTTAGTTGTTTTGGTGGTTGCGAACATGATTTTTGATTTAAAAAAAAAGTCCAAATATTGAAAAACTAAAATAAGCGAATTGTAGAGATCATTGATCAAAGAATGTTTATGCCAAATTTGAGCCAATGCTGATGTGCCGTTTTTTTAAATAACTTAAAACAAGTTTCGAAAAATCAACCAATCAGAGCACAGCATTCTCATCGTCGTTGCGGCCCTAAGGCTAAGCACATAGTGGAGCGGTGAGCACAGCAGCGGGCAGCGCGGAGAGCAGAGCATCAGTTGAGCAGAGAGTCGATGAAAGAATTGTATGCACATAGTGGCGAGTTAATACTCGAGTGAAAAAGATAAAAATGAATAATTTGGTTTTAACTGAAACGTCGTCTTTAAAAATTTGGTATTTAATAAGAAGACAGAAAGAAAAAAAGAAGGTGTATTGCACACCATATAAACAGAAGCAGACTTCGATTAGGCGAATATCACCATTTATATGAGGAATTACGGCAACATCCAGAAAAATTTCACTCTTATCTTTGAATGAATATTAAAACTTTTAGTTACCTACATTTTGGAGAAAATAGAACAAAGATTGGTAAAAAAATGGACCAACATTAACATAAACCCAATTGGTCCAGCAGCAATCAATTATATATAATACATGTTTCACCTAATTGTTTACAGTGTTGTCACAGGCTTTGAAAATTTCGTGCCAGACTATGAATTTAAAAGGGGCCAGATTTGAGATTTTTGGGCAAACCCTCCACAAATGAAAAAGAAGAGAGAAAGCCTGCCTGCGTTGCCGGAGGCAGAAAATTTTTTCGGGTGCCACGCCCAAAAACGCTTATTTTGCATAAAAAAATAATGATTTGGCTTGTTACGGAGAAACGGGCCAGATTCGGAAAAGAGTGGCCAACGGGCCACTCCGTCTTAGAAAGGGCCAGATCTGGCCATATGGGGCCACCTGTGGCAACACTGATTGTTTACTTCATTTCTTCTGCTACATCATCCCACAACTTATCTAATATATATCGGTTATGATGTTGGGAATCTTTTTGGTCCCACAATGGATTTTCAACAAAAATACTACTTATTAATAATTATTCAACGTCCATTTTTACAACACAGAAAAAAACGAGCAAAGTAGAAAAATCAAACTTGCTTGAACGCGTCGTTTTGCTCGATATTAACAGCGCTGCTAAATCTAGTCACTGCTCTTCACTATGTGTCAAAAAATTTAATCTCGTGTGTTATTATAGTTTTCGCTGCTTTGCTCTCCTCACTGCTCACTACTTTGCTCGTCGCTCCACTATGTGCTTATCCTAAGTCTGTTCTCACAGGAGTTTCTGACAGTTCGCAAGCTGTCAGTAAGCATTGCCTATACAAACTATGTTCTTATTTATAGTTATAGACTGTGAGATAGGGGCTGTTCAGTGGAGTCATTTTTTTTTGTCTGGCATTTTGAGGGCTGAATGTGGTTACTAAGCTGATGAGAATATGGGTGATTTTAATGCCAGCCTCCCGTTCGAAAATTTGGAAAATCAATTTTCATTTGCATGAAACATTTTGTTTTTTTATGATGTTAAAGTGTCTGGCATTCGAATAAAAGATTCACAATGATAAATAATCCACCAATTAAAAATGCCAGACGGTTTTCAGTGGTCGAAAAGGTGGAGGAAAGTGGTCAACTTGCAAGGAAAAAAAACAAATTTCCACAATTTCTTTCTGTCTGGCAATCGAGAGAATAAAAGGTTTTGTTATGAAAATTACGCTGAAAAATTGCCAGACGGTGATCACAGTTCGAAATCGCGTTTGCCGCGGAAGATTATGCAAAAATTTCGAATTTTTTTTAGTGATTTCTAAGTGCACAAAAAGTTGAGCAAAGTGTTTTCAATAACTCAAAAGCGAACATGATGTTTTGCCAGACAAGTTCGGCTGTTCCATTATTTATAAATTAATAAAAAAGTTACAAAAAAAATATGGAATTTTCCACGTTTTTTTTTTGTCTGGCATTTCGTATTTTTATTTAAAATACGTGTACATTCACACGTTAAAAATGCCAGACAAGTTGAGCTGTTCGAAAATTTATTAATAGAAATTTTTTAAACAATATGGGAAAGTTCATATTGGAATCACAGGTAAGTATATACCTACTCAATCTAAAGGTGATATGTTCTCGTGTGGCATTTTGTATTTCTATTGATTTTTTGAATTTATTAATGCGCAACAAAATAGTTTTTTCAAATCTATATATTTTTGTGACCTAGAAGTCCGATAAAATAAATAAAATTAGGCAGCGCCACTGCCAGGTAACGATTGGTAGCAGAATTGCTCGGTCAACTACTGATGAACTACTGGCAATACTGCGTATTAGGCCGTGTTTATGTTGGAGCTGTGATAAACGATAAAAGCAACGATACTAATGATACTCTACATTAGTGTCGTTGCTTTTATCGAGTATCACAGCTCCAACATAAACACGACCTAAAGCTAAACCTGTGGCTAAACTGCCAAATTTTGTCATCAATACGACAAGCAGGTCTTGTGTTGGAAACAGTCTATGACAGTTTTTCCGCTTATGTTACTATTTCCCAGAAATCTAACATGGAAGAGAATATAAAAAAAACTTGCTTCATCTGCCAAGACGAGGAAACTGCAAATAAGCCTATCAAATTGTTCAAAGGTACTAAAGGCCATGTTATGCTTGATAAAGCAGAAATCATTTTGTGTTCTCGAAAGTTTCATGACCTTTTTTACAAATCCTGTAAACTTCCTCCACGGGATAGTACAACCATTGGTTATCATTCGAAGTGTTGGAGTAATTTTTCGGGTCTGAATAAAAAGTTTTATGTTGATCCGCAACAGCATAACGTGTGAGTAATTTTGAAATTTAATATAATTTATATCCGTTCATAATACCAGAAAGTGAACTTTCAGGTTTCTGGTTTGAATTTTTTTTTAATATTACATTTATTTATATATTTAAGTATATTTATATTTTTCCAGTTCATTGGATCAAAACGATCGTGAAGAAAGTATTGTCGAGGAGAATGTTATTGAAGGAGAAGAAAATACAGAAAATGGGTCTTCAATTCATGATCAAAATACAACTGCTAATCCAACTAAAAATGTATGCGTTTTTTGCAATAGATTCCGTAAACGAGTGAAATGTCGAGAAATACTACTCACTAAAACATTGTATTCTCATAGATTTGATAAAATTATTAATCATGCTGTTACCTGGAACGATATCGAATTAGCAGACAGGCTTCGAAAGAGTGAAGAGGAAGGATTGAAAATCTACTACCACAGTGTTTGTCTTACTGGCTACGACAAGCTGTTCGTCGTAAACAAAAACGCAGGAAATGGAGAGTGGCATTTTACTCGCCAACTGTATAAAAATGCTTATGCAGTAGTCTATCGATTTATTAAATTACAAGTTATTAATCAACGCAGACCATGCACGCTCAGTTTCATTCAAGAATTATTTATGGAATCATTACTGGAACAGTATGACGGAAGGAAGGAAAAAAAAGATTTGCACTTCAAGTTTTTAAGGAATAAAATACGGATGCAGTTTGCAAAAAAAATTAAAATTTTTAAACTTAATAAAGTAACGTTTGTAGCTCCTGCTGGAAGTATTCCTCTTGATTTTGATATCTTGAGTGAAACCGATATTATTAACAGAGCAGCATTGATACTAAGACGCAGTATTATTACCAATATTGAGCAATACTGGCATTACAATGAATAAGTAGACGCATCAGCATATCAGCAAAAAACTTGGTGCAAGGATCCAAGTTTGAGGAATCAATAATTTCTTACTGACAATAGGAAATCGACTTGGATCGATAATTCGATTTTCCCAGTCAGTTGGGTCTTAAAGCTGAAGCTAATAACAAAGCTTGAGCCGGGCTATCGGACGCGAAGAAAGTTCAAGTTAAAGTTACAGAAAGATGGATTTCCAGCGGTAACTCATTTGTCAATTTGTAAACTCATCATTTTAAATTAATAAAATTATTCAAGATACTTTCCCTTATTTTATTATTATTTATTTTATTTTGTAAGTAATAAATTGGCATTTTTATTTTACATTTGGTTTTCATTTTGGACTAGATCCCAAGTCCCCAGTCACGACAAAACAGGTTGTGACAATATAGTCAATGTTTAATAAAAGTGTTACTGTTTGTGAGTGAGTGAACCCGAAATCCGTGACAATTTGGTGTCGGAAGTGAGACAATTGATGCATTGATTTGAGCTGACAACAAAATTGGTGTATTAATTGGGGCTAATTAGTGCGGGAAAAATCAATGAACTTTTATTGAACTGAAATAGTGATTTTATTACCAGATTTGACATAAAAAAAAACAGCTGACAATAGTTATTTTCCTAACAAGTGCGGAAGGTGATACTTTCCCGCACGCGACTGCCGTTGACCCGAACGACGCGAAGCGGAGTTCCGGCAAGCAGTCGAGTGCGGAAAAGACACTTTCCGCATGAGTTAGGAACATTATTTTTTCTACGAGCGCGTTCAAATATAAAAACAAAAACTAAGTAAATTCTAACCGATATATTATTAAAGAAATCGTTTAATTACAAAATTACTTATTATGATGGATATTAATATTAAAAGTACAGTTTGTAATATGCTGTAAAATAATAGCTGATGCCATCTACTGTTTCAGTAGAGCCGGCCCAGCATGGTTAGTTGGTGCTGCAGTTGGTGTCTCGGTTGATGCCAATTACAATAAACAAAATTTCTAAGGTAAAAAAACTGCCCCGCCTCAAAGGAACCAAAAAATGAAACAATGTCAAAAAAAATTATAAATTTTTTGAAAGATCCACAAATTAGATTAATATGGATTAAAATTGGAATATTTCAAATAGTTTATGAGCGCATACATTAGTTAGTACATCTAGCAAAAATGTATGGAGACAAAATTGATAAAATGTTTTATTGATTAACAAAACTTCTGAACGCCACTTTCCCGCACTAGTGCGGGAAAGTGACATTATCGGAACTAAGATGCGTGCGGGAAAGTGATAAAAAATGCTCGCTCGTAGAAAAACGAATCTTCTCAAAAGTTCTACAATAGAATATTATATTGTGTTCTATCTGAAAATTTGATTTCGTCTCAGAACTTTCGATTCAGGAAAAAAAAGATGCTGATTAGTGATTACTCAATTTGTGAAAACAAGACAGCAAACAGCCGAAATGATGGCGGACTTCATGAAGAATTTGGATGACATAAGACAAAATGAAGAAGACAGAAACAAGAAGACCGGCTTGCAGCACTATTACAACAACAAGAAGACCAGAGACGGAAAGAAATACAAAAATAAGAAGACCGAACACAGAAAAAAAAAACAAGAAGAAAAAGGTCGGAGACAGAAAGAACAGGACCGGCTTGCTGCACTTTTACATCGAGAAGGCCGAAAATAAAAAGAACAGGAACGGCTTGCAGTACTTTTACAACAACAAGAAGAGCGGGGATAAAAAGAACGGGACAGGCTTCGGGAAAATTTTAAACATCAGCGTGAATGGATGCAAACCGTAATCTCTGAGGAACAAACTAGACTTGCGAAAATTCTGGAAGCAGAAGATAATAAATTCACTAGGGCTTCGCAAGACCAAGACTGGCCAGTCTTGGTATTGGTCTCGAAAAATAAATGCGGTCTTGGTATTGGTCCTGGTCTTGATATTTCGAGACCAAGACAAGACTGGCTCAGTATTGGTCTTGGTCTTGATAGTCTTGGTCTTCGTCTTGAAAAAAATTTATACCAAATTTTTAAAATATACATAACATCCAATGACAGAGCAGAGATAATGGGTTTAGGACTTCCCTTTCTGAAAAAATTATGCCGACGTTTCGACCATGCATTCATTGTGAATCTTTTATTCGAATGCCAGACACTTTAACATCATAAAAAAACAAAATGTTTCATGCAAATGAAAATTGATTTTCCAAATTTTCGAACGGGAGGCTGGCATTAAAATCACCCATATTCTCATCAGCTTAGTAACCACATTCAGCCCTCAAAATGCCAGACAAAAAAAAATGACTCCACTAAACAGCCCCTATCTCACAGTCTATTATTAAGGTATCAAGGGTATTATAAGGATAATAACGCTTGAGGTCAATGGTGTATTTCGCAAGGGTCTTTGGCCCGAGGGATATACCTTTAATGTCCGACTTAATTATTTTTCATGTGAGAAAATTTTGAATGAATTTTGAATAAATTAATCTAAAACAAATCAAGTACCTGCAAAAAATAGTCATAACGCCCTAGGGAATTATTTCTTATTTGAATTACATTACGCCCTACGGCGTTATTTTTTAGAATAACGCCCAAGGGAATTATTTCGTTTTTAACTGACCTCGAAATAAAGTCATTATTTCTCGGATAATTTTCCAGTGGGACATTAATTAGTTTTATATATTATACCTTTTTACCTTATTTGATAATTGCTATAACCAGTAACTGGTACTGATTTCTGTCATCTGAATAAATTGTCATTTTATTTGTGCGTATTTTTAGCCTTTGAATAAATCCATTATAAAAGTAATAGTACCTATATTACATACCGAGTAGGGAAGTGTTTCATTACTGTCGAGAGATTTATATAGTCAATCGAGACACGAAGCGTCGAGATTGACTATAATCTCGAGACAGAAATGAAAACTTTCCTCCGAGGTTTGTATACTATTTTATTTGCAAACACACCATTAATAATGATTAGTCATTTAATTTTTTTAATATTAAAAAAATAAAACAAACATGCCAAAATCTGTCATTCACTGTTTTGACGTTTTTACCTGACAGGTTCTCATTGTTCCCAGCAAAAGGTAAATAAATTAGAGTGAGGGAAATCGGTGAGGGAAATCGAAGAGGGAAGTGTTACAAGTAAAGTGATACCTCCAAATTTTTAAAAAGTCAGTAATGTCAAGATTACATACAGTGTGCGCCATAAAGTTGGGTACACATGGGAAAATTCTCAAATATTCCTTTTTTCAAAAAACTTTTTTTGGGGATCATTAGGGCATGTTCGATAACCGAAAAATCGATATGACACATGTCATGCGATTATCGGTTTAGTGGGAATTTTGAAAAAAGTTGATATTGATGTCGAAAAACGGGTAAATTTGGCAAGAGTGCTGTCACATTACAGAGTCAGTTGAACATCTTGGGGGTTACTGCAGAGACCAACATGTCTTGGCACAGTCACGTGGCAGATATTGCTAAAAGGGCCTCCCAAAAGCTGGGGGTGCTATTTCGTACAAGACATCTGTACACACCAAGCCAATTGCTGACACTCTACAAAGCCCAGATTCGACCAACTATGGAGTACTGCTCACATATATGGAGTGCAGCACCCAAACATACCTTAATGCTTTTGAATACCGTGCAAAAACGAGCTATCAAGCTGATCAATGACCCCGCACTTACTCGTAACTTGGATGGTCTCGAACATCGCAGATCTGTGGGCGATTTATCTCTCTTCTACAGGTACTATCACGGAAAATGCTCTGAAGAGTTGGCACGTATGATTCCACCGAGAGTAGCACCTACCAGGCGAACCCGTCAAACAGACGGCAACCATGAATTTACTGTCAAACTAGAGGCACCAAGAACCTCATTATATCAGAATTCATATCTCTGGAGAACAGCATCGCTGTGGAATAAACTCCCTGCGACGGTTTTCCCTGCAGGTTACAACCTGAACCGTTTCAAGACCAACATACACCGACATTTCCGCGCACTTGCCGCTTCTCGAGCGTGATAGGACATTTCCTTGCGAGTGCGCATATCCGTAAAAAAAAAAAAAAAAAAAAAAAAAAAAAAAAAAAAAGATATCAAAAAATTTTATGAGAAAAAGTTGTTCAGAATCCAAAAAGAACTCCACATGCCGATTTTAAAGCAAATCAGAGAAAAAAAAATAAAACTACTTATTTTATCCATACCATTAAATGGAAAATCGAAAATATACTCCTGGACAAAATTATCGCACCACTGCTTATGGTGATGCTTATGTGCAGTGGTGCGATAATTTTGTCCAGGAGTATATTAATTTTATTTCAAAAATAGCTTTATTCAACTAAACTAGCTAAGTTTGATATCCAACGAATCGATTGTTTTGCGAAATACACACTTGAAGGTCATAAATTAGAAAATACCGTCCGGTCGTGTCGCTATAACTGTACACATGTCCCTTTTTGCACATTTTCTAGGCCGAGTTCAGAAATAACGCACCGGGTGCGAGTGCGAGTTTATGGGTGTGCCTGAATTGACAATTGGCCATTGGGCCCATAGCACCGTCTAACATTTTTGAACAGCTAGGGCGTCGCACCGGTGTCACACTCACACTGGCTGTGTCATTTCTGAACTCGCCCCTGGTCATCAAAAAAAAAAAAAAACATGACATGTGTCATAATCGATTTTTTGGTTATCGAACATGCACTAACGATACCCAAAAAAAGTTTTTTGAAGAAAGGAATAGAATTTTCCCATATGTACCCAACTTTATGGCGCACACTGTATATGGTTGCAAATAAAATACATTAACGTACATACACAACAATTGGCGACGAGGATCTATACATTTGCCAGAAA